AAGGGTTGCAGACCTGCACGCAGCGCGTCGTCCGTCGCCTGGGCCAGACGTCGAGCACGTCGAGCGTCAGGAGGTGCGGCAGGTCTCGCAGCTGCAGGCGCTCCCCCAGCTTGGCGCCAGCAGTTTGCCACCTTATCAGCACGGCCGCAGTAGCGAGGAGCGTCGCACACAGGGATGCCGCAACGCACAAGCAACTCCTCCTCCACGACGTTCACGAACTCAGCGTATAAGCGATCCAGCCGCGCCTGAGCCTGAACAGGACTCGCAGCTCCTCCCAGTGCCACATCATCCTCGATGAGGTCGCGGGTACCAGCCGCCAGCACAGGCGTGACGTCTTCAGTCGGGGCTGCCTTCGGGAAAGCCTTCGGCGCCAGCAGGACGAGGAATGTGACCGCCTTAGCCCGCGCGTCGAGGGACGTCAGCATAGGGAAATGTGGCGACGCAGGCCAGCCCTCCACAGGGTGGGGCAGCGCTAGCGAACCCGCGATAGACAAGCTGGCCAGCCAGTAGTCGATGGTCGAGTAGGCACCCTGAGCGCTGCGGCACGTGCCCACTGGATGGCGCCCTGTAGGAGCAGGGGGCCTCGCGACCACTGCTGCAGGAATGAAGTCCAAGAAGCCATACTCCAAGAGGTGCTTCGGATCGCAGTTGAAATCCCCCGCCGCAAGAAACGGCCTGTTCCAACCCCGCAGCGCTGTAGCGATGTCGTAGAGCCGCATCACATTCACGTCATTCCATCGTCCCACCTCAAAGTAGCAAGACAACAGCACGAGCCCACCTTTGATGCCAAAAGCCGCATGACATGCAACACAGAAGCTCGGAAGCAGGTCAAAACCTCGCAAGCCTGGCAGCATCGTCACGCTGATGTGACGTCGAATGAAAAGACCAACTCCAGCAGACGGGCGCCCCGACTCCAGACGTCGGCACGATGAGATAATAGCACGCCATCCAGCTCGAGCCGCCCAGCCTTCAGCGCGCCGACGATCGTCACCATCGATGCGCAGCTCCTGGGCCGCCACCACCTGGATGCCAAGGTCGCAGTGGGTCAGAAACTCCCTGCGCGAAGCCCAGGGCGAGCCGTTGTAGGTGACGAAAGAGGCCTTCACGCGGGCGCTGCCACGACGCCCACGGTGTCTAGCCTTCCACGTCGGCCTCACCTGCGGCATCCCAGGCGGCTGCGGCGGTTCCCCCGCCAGCGCGAAACGCGTAGGCAGCACCAGGAGGCAGCGCCGCAGCAGGGGGAGCCGTGGCAGATGGCGAGGAGTCTGCTGGGCCTCCTGCTCCAGTGGCGGCGGGGGCAGCCGCGGCTCCTGAAGCCATGAGGGCAGAGGCGGCGGGGAACGCTGTGCCAAGCGCTGCAACCTGCTGCCCGATCGCCTCCAAGACTGCGATGCCCTGCCCACTGGCGACGCGCGCAGGGGCACTGGCGAGCGTGGCCTGAAGGCCGACCAGCGCGGAGGCGAGGGCTGCCAAGTCGACACCACTGGAGCTCGCCGCCGAGGCCGCCACGGCGCGGTGGGCAGCCTGAACTTCCACCTCCAGGTTCTTGACCTCCACGTCGGCCACGCCCTGCTGCCTGCGGAGGTCGTCGACCTTCGCGATAGCCTCCACGAGGTCGTCCGCCACCTGGGATGCTCTAGCCCGCGCCTCCTCCACACGCTTCTGGAGGGAGACCAAGAGCTGCTCAGGGGGCTGAGCACGACGCTCCTCAGCCTCCAGGGTGGCGAGCTCCTGTCGCGCAGCCTGGATGAGCGGGTGCTCGTCGGCGTAGCCAAGCTTCTGGAGAGCAGCCAATCCTTGCCTGGCGCGCACGACTGCAGGCCCAGCAGGTTCTCCGTGGGCTGCACCGACAGGAGGACCAGCACGACCGCGGGGAGGAGGGCCAGAGCGGCGGCGGCGGCCCGCGGATGCCGACCTCCCGCCCTGCTCCGAGGAGGCGGGCGACTCGCGGACCAGGCGTCCGAGGCGGTCCCTGCCGCACTTCCAGCACGTCTCGCGGCTGGGGAAGTTGTTGCGGAACCCGCACAGCCTCGACGCAGCGCAAGGCCAGTTTGGCTGCTGGGGCGGGGCCGCGCCCTGCCTGGGCTGCTGCTGGGCCATGCCACGGCCGCTCCCACGGTCGCCGTGGTGCCCAGCACGCCTGGCGCGGGCCGCGGTGAGGCGCAGCACGACCCTTGCACGAGATCTCAGGCGGCGAGCCCGTCGGTGCCACCCTGGGCTGCGCGAGCGGGCCATCGGGAAACACGATGTGCGGGCGCCCGCACGCAACGGGCCGCCGGCGCGGGGGCTATGGCGCGGGCCCCGCGGCGCCCGCCCGCAGGCAAAATGGCTGCGGGGGGGCGGGGGGCGGGGGCCACGGTGCCAAGCCACCTAGGAGGAGGAGGAGGAGGAGGAGGAGGAGGAGGAGGAGGAGGAGGAGGAGGAGGAAGGAGGAGGACGGGTCGCCTAAGCCCTTCGGAGACACTCTCCACCAGGACCTCATCTTTCTGCATCATGTTTAGAGCCAGCTTGTGCTGTCCTCACCCTCTCGCCCAGCCTCTGCCCTTCCACCCTCGGGCCCTCCTCCTACACCTACATATCCTCCTCCTCCCCCCCCCTCCTCCTCCTCCTCCTCTCATCATCATCATCAGCATCATCATCATCATCAGCATCAGCATCATCATCATCAATCATCATCATCATCCCCTCCTCCTCCTCCTCCTCTCCTCCTCCTCCTCCTCCTCCTCCTCCTCCTCCTCCTCCTCCTCCTCCTCCTCCTCCTCCTCCTCCCTCCTCCTCCTCCTCCTCCTCCCCTTCCTCCTCCTCCTCCTCCTCCTCCTCTCCCTCCTCCTCCTCCTCTCCTCCTCTCCTCCTCCTCCTCTCCCTCCTGCTCCCCCTCCTCCCCCTCCTCCCCCTCCTCCTCCTGCTCCTGCTCCTCCCCTCCTCCTCCTCCTCCCTCCTCCTCCTCCTCCTCCTCCTCCTCCTCCTCCTCCTCCTCCTCCTCCTCCTCCTCGGGTCGCCTGCGGCCCCGGGGGAAACCGTCCAGGTCCTCGGCTCCTGACGCGGGTTTCGCGCGATGTTGCAGTTTTTGCCCGCGGCGTCGGACCTCTGGGAGGGCCGAGGCGGGAGGGGCAGCGGCAGGGCGAGGGGGTGAGGACGCCCATTTTCCCGACGCGGTGATCCTTCCTCCTCATCCTCCTCCTCATCCTCATCCTCCACCTGGGAGTTTTTCTTGGGGCTGGGGCAAGGCGAGCACCCCCACCCCCAGGCAGGAACCCCTGGATCACCAGGATCACCGATTGGGTTCAACGGGAATGGAGCAGATCCCAGATCCAGGGGATTCCAATCGGGTTCCCATTGGCTCCACTTGGAATCCAGGTAGAATGGAGCAGATCCAAACAGAGGTTCAAACAGATGCACCAAGCCGGGCCCCGGCCAGCCAGACCCTCCCCCTTTTCCTAGATGAGCGACGCCAAAAAACGGAGTCGTTTTCACCGACATTGACGCGTAAGCTACCCGCATCAGGTCGCGCATAATTGGGCGCCCTCGTCTCCATTGGGGCGTGCCGCGCTGGTGGCCCGCGTAAGCCGCGGCGTAAGGTCGCTATGTCAGCTCGCGTAAGAACCGTTTTTGATCGTCGGTCAAAGGTAGGGTTTTCTTCGGTGCTGGGGCAAGAAGAGCACCCCCACCCCCAGCCAGGAACCCCTGGATCACCAGGGCTGGAGTGGGGGTCATGGCTGGGGGTGGCTTGTGCTGTTCCCAACTTGGTATGGCATCGCTCGGACATGTGCATTCTTTCTCGGCGAGGGCCGGATCCTCTTGCGAAAAAAATCCGTGGAAGCCCATGCCAAGAAACACCTTGCTTGCCTCCAGTGCCGTGGGTTTCTTGGGTTTCGATGGTTCTGCCAGGGAAAGCGTGCCGCTCCCACGCCAGCAAAGATCAGTGGATGTCCTGGGGGCTCAGGATTGGGTCTCTCGTGGAAGGCTTCTTGTGGTCGAGTTCCTATCGCGAGCGCACGACAGTGCAACATGTGCACGGGGGAGGGACGTCCGAGCGATGGCGCGCCGAGGGGGGAAGGGCGCGGGATCGCCCGCCAGAGCACATCGCCAACCCGCACAGGAATGGCGGGCGCCCTTCCCACGTGTGCAGTGGAGGCCCATGCCGAGAAACGCCTCGCTTGCCTCCAGGGTGCCCTGGGTTTCTTGCGATCGTGTTCTGGTTCGTTGTTCTGCCGGCTGCGCGGGCTCTCGCATCCCCTCAGCCCCCCCCCTCGTGGAGTAGATCTTGTCTGTTTTTGGCGCCTGTTTCGAGCAGGTGGTGTCTCCCCCAGAGGACGCACGGTTCCAAACAACCGAAAGCAGTGGTCCGGAGCAAGACCCCCTCCCTCCCCCCCCGCCGCCAAATGTCGAAACGCCAAGAAATCGCTCACCTTGGGTTGCGATGGTTTTGCTGTAGAAGGCGTGACGCTCCCACACCAAAAATCGAGGGGCGTCCTGGGGTCTCAGGGTCGGGTGTCTTGTGGAAGGTCTCTTTGTGGACTGGCCTCCACTGTACCCTTGCATCCTTGCCTCCGCGGCCCATCCTTGGCCACTTTCGTTGGCCGCGCCCCGCTCGAAGAGCTTCGAGCGGGGCGTCCGAGGCCCTCGCACCCTCATCGCGTATCCTTCTGGTACGGGGCGATTGTACCCTTCTCCGTCTCTTCGGGTGTTGCCAGAAGTACCCCTGGCCCAAAATACCCTGAGGATTCTCGGGGTGGCCCAGACGGCCTCCAGGGCACCCCTCGCGAGGCCCAGAGGGCCCCAGGGACTCCAGAATGGACCGGAAAGCTGCGGGCACCTTGGGCCAGGGGCACTTCTAGCAGCACCCGATATCTCTGCGCTGGCACAACGAGCTTGCGCGCGCGCGGGGAGGCTCCCACTACGGCGTGCTGGACCCTCATCGCGCATCCTTCCTGACACGGGCCGACTGTACCCTTCTCCCTCTCTGCACCGGCACAGCGAGCCTGCGCGCGCGTGGGGAGGCTCCCACTACGGCGTGCTGGACCCACAGGCGGGGGCTCGCGCGCGCGCGCGGGCGGGCGGGTGGGCGCGCGGAGGCCCCTCGCCCCCGCCCCCAAGGAGAGATCCGATGCTCCCGCAAGCACGAGATCGGCGGGTGTTTGGGCCGCCTTTGGTCTCGGGGAGCCCTCGCCGGGCCTCGCGGTAGCGTGCATAAGACGACCCGGGACGAAGCACCGGCCCTATTATCTGGACGCCCGAAATGGGTACGCAAAGAATGGGCACGATGCCAAACAGCAGTTCCTGCTCATTTTGAACAGGACTCGCTGTCCGCGCCGCCGCGGCCTGTGTCCATTTGAGGCAGAAGGCCGCCCGCCCAACAGCGGCCGCTGTTGGTTTGGAACAACATTTGTTGTTGCGCATTGTACCCAATTTTTCCGTAGCCATTTCGGGCGTCCAAGTCAGAGTGAGGTGGCCGAACGGTCATTCATTGTCCCTGGGTGCGTGGCTGAAGTGGAATTCCGCGGTGCGGATTCGTGTTGCTGTTGTTTGTTGTTTGTTGTTGTTGTTTGTTGTCGTCGTCCCACCCGCAACCCGCCCCGCGACCCACCCGCGACCCAACCCGCGACCCACCCCGCGACCCACCCGCGACCCACCCCGCGACCCACCCGCGACCCACCCCGCGACCCACCCCGCGACCCACCCCACGACCCACCCCGCGACCCACCCGCGACCCACCCCGCGACCCACCCGCGGCCCACCCCGCGACCCGCCCGCGGCCCACCCGCGACCCACCCCGCGACCCACCCGCGACCCACCCGCGACCCACCCGCGACAAACCACGTTCAAGGTACAAACCATCATTTTCGGCGTTTTTTAGCATTCCTTCCAGGTGGAGAGCCCGCGACCCACCCCGTGACCAACTTGCGACCAACCCGCGAGCCAAACCACGTTCAGGGTACAAACCACATTGCTCGGAGCCTGCGGCGGGCATCTTTGCAGTCGTTTCAAGTGGAGAGCCCGCGGCCCACCCGCGACCACGTTCAGGGTACAAACCAATTTTTTGGCGCCTGCGGCGGGCATCTTTTGCATTCGTCCCCAGTGGAGAACCCGCGGCCCACCCGCGACCCAAACCACGTTCAGTGTACAAACCTAATTTTTTGGCGCTTGCGGCGGGCTGCTTTTGCATTCCTTACAGGTGGAGGTGGAGAGCCTGCGACCCACCCGCGACCCAAACCACGTTCACTGAACAAACCAATGCCGCACAAGCGCGTCGGCGGATTTTTGCATGCCGTCTGAGCCCGCAAGGCGCAAGGACCTCTTCAAGCCCCGCGCATCCACACCAGCCCGTCCAGCAACTTTGCCCTGGCGAGTTGCCTTGATCAGAGAAGTCGGGGAGCATAAAGTGGAAAAAAGGATTGCGTTGCCGTTATATTGGGAAAGGAGGGGGAGGCAGGAGGAGTAAGCAGGGGACGAGGAGGATGCGGAAGAAGAGAGGATGTAAGGAGAATGTGGAGAAAGAGGAGGAGCAGGAGTAGGAGGGGGAGGAGGGGGTGGAGGGGTAGGAAGATGATGATGGACGATAATGGGAGGACGATGATGGAGGTCGATGAGGGGGAGGACGACAATGGGAGGACGATGGTGAAAGGACGAGAGGGGGAGAGGGAGGACGAGGAAGAAGAGGAGGAGGAGGACGAGGTGGAGGAGGAGGATGACGATGACGATGAGTACGAGGACGAGGACGAGGAAGAGGAGGAGGAGGAGGAGGAGGACGAGAGCGCCATCGACAGGGAAGGTGGGGCCACGAGGTCCGCCGGCTCGACGACGCCCGCGTCGCCCGCGCCCGCCCCCTCACTCTTATCCGCGATTGCGGGGTGCTACGTATTAGGAAGTGGTCAAGACTTCCGAGGCCCACGCTTCTAAAAGATTGGAGCAGCCGGATGTCTGGGCCGTTCTGGGAATCGGACAAGAAAAAACGCCACAAACATGAATTGTTGGCGCTCCGCGCGGATTTCTTGGATCCGCGCTGGGCCCCCCGGGCGGCGCCTCCGGCGCCGCCCCTGGTCCACCGCAGATCCAAGAAATCCCCACAGAGCGCCAAAAGTGTACGTAGCACCCCGCAATTGCGTTTAAGAGTGAGGGGGCGGGCGCGGGCGACGCGGGCGTCGTCGAGCCGGCGGACCTCGTGGCTCCCCATCCGTCCTCCCTCGTCCTCATCGTCATCGGTCGTCTCCCCCCCTCGTCCTTTCATCATCGTCCTCCCATTGTCCTCCTCCCCCTCATCCCCCTCCTCATCCTCCTGCTCCTCCTCCTCTTTCTCCACATTCTCCTTACATCCTCTCTTCTTCCGCGTCCTCCTCGTCCCCTGTTTACTCCTCCTGCCTCCCCCTCCTTTCCCAAGATAACGGCAACGCAATCCTTTTTTCCACTTTATGCTCCCCGACTTCTCTGATCAAGGCAACTCGCCAGGGCAAAGTTGCTGGACGGGCTGGTGTGGATGCGCGGGGCTTGAAGAGGTCCTTGCGGGCTCAGACGGCATGCAAAAATCCGCCGCCGCGCTTGTGCGGCATTGGTTTGTTCAGTGAACGTGGTTTGGGTCGCGGGTGGGTCGCGGGCTCTCCACCTCCACCTGGAAGGAATGCAAAAGCAGCCCGCCGCAGCGCCAAAAAATTGGTTTGTACACTGAACGTGGTTTGGGTCGCGGGTGGGCCGCCTCCACCGGGAACGAATGCAAAAGATGCCCGCCGCAGGCGCTGGTTTGTGAACGTTGGGTCGCGGGTGGGCCGCGGGGGGACGAATGCAAAAGATGCCCGCCGCAGGCGCCGAAAATTGTTGTTTGTACCTTGAACGTGGTTTGGGTCGGGGTGGGTCGCGGGTGGGTCGCGGGTGGGTCGCGGGTGGGTCGAGGGTTGGGTCGCGGGGTGGGTCGCGGGGTGGGTCGCGGGGTCGCGGGGTGGGTCGCGGGTGGGTCGCGGGTGGGTCGCGGTGGGTCGCGGGGTGGGTCGCGGGGTGGGTCGCGGGTGGGTCGCGGGGCGGGTCGCGGGTGGGACGACGACAACAACAACAACAACAACAACAACAACAACAACAACAATTACTAGCACGTGGGGACACTCCGTTCTCACCAGTGCCAGGGTTTTCATAGGAGGCGGGCAATACCCCCACTTTGTGGGGGGGCCGGTTCAAGCTCTACCAAATTTCCAAACGACTCTTCGCCACCACCCACACCCAGCTTCCCGCCCTATGACGTTCGGACACTTCACTTCGTGGCATGCGGACGACCGTGGCTACTATTCAAGGCCCCGCGGCCGACGACGACGGCGTGCGCGCGCGAAGAAAAAACGAATGTGTCCCGCATGGTATTATTTGACAGGGATGATGGCCCTGGCAGGTGCGCAACCGTTGTCGCAGAAGTTCGAAAAAGTTGCTCGCAAAAGCCCGTTTGACAGAAATGTTTAAAAAGTGTTGGGTTTCCTACGAATCCGCAAGAGCGCGCGGGATGAGATTTTGACAATTTTTTGTTGAAAAACCATTGGTTTTTTGATGTTTTTATGTTAAAATCGCTGCGAACACTAAGGTTTTGGAAGGATTTCGTCTTGCGCGCGCGAATGTCCACTTTACCTTATTTTTTGCAAGGGATTCTTGAAATTTGATTATATTAGAACAAGAAATGTCATTTTCTATTGTTTTTTGCAAGGGAAAGCGGATTACAACAAAACAACCGGATCCTGTACACACCCTCTTTTCTGAGGCTTCCTCACGAAAATGATGAAAATGTAGCTGCGGCCTAGGCGGCGCAGGGGGGGCGCGCACCAGGGGGCCCAACAATAATTATTCTTTAGAATAAATAATGTTCAACAGCAACAACAACAACAACAACAACAACAACAATTACAACGAGAATCCGCACCTCGGAATTCCAGTTCAGCCACGCACCCAGGGACAGTGAATGACCGTTCGGCCCCCTCACTCGGATGTTTACGGCGCTTCCGACGTCCTGATGATCTTTTCAATCCTGGCGGTTGTTTTCCATTATTTCGGCCTGTGAGACCTGCTGTCGGGCCAGGGGCCGTCAACAGCATGCTTGGGGCGAAGGCCTGACCGGGGCAAGGGGGCCTGAAGCTCCGCGCAGCAGCGGGTTGGAGGAGTCAGAGCGGCGGCTGTCAGGGAGTGTTTTTTGTCGGGCATGTCCCTCTACAGGAGGAATATTTTAAAAATCTCAGGACGATTTCTCTATTTTTGTTTTACCATTGTTGCGCATGTTTTGCATTTGTATTGTACGTGTGTCCTCCAAAACCTGCCTATAGGGGGACATGCCCGACCTGAGAGGGGCGCTCTCGGAGGAGTTGCGCGACCGCTTTCTGGTTCATTGACGCACGGATCGGCGCGGGCCCTCCCCCCCGCCCCCGCGGCGCCCATGGAGCAGATCTTGGCTGTTTTTGCGCCTGTTTCAGGCTTGGCATCGCTCGGACGTGTGCATCTTGCCTTCGGCGAGGACCATCGAGGAGCATCCTTGATCACTTGGCGAAGAAAACACGCACGAAACCGAAAAAAACAAGGGAATAGACGTCCGAGCGATGGCCAGCAAGCAGGTGGAGTAAGCACGGGGGCCCCGCCTCCACACAGGATTCCCCATGGGATCACCGTTCCGGACAAGTCGCGTTGAGCAGAGGTCTGCAGCCAGGCTCCCCCCCCTCCCTTCCGCCCAATGTCGAAACGCCGAACAAGAAATCGCTCACCTTGGGTTGCGATGGTTTTGGTGTAGAAGGCGTGACGTTCCCACACCAAAAATCGAGGGGCGTCCTGGGGTCTCAGGGTCGGGTGTCTTGTGGGAGGTCTCTTGTGGACTGGCCTCCACTGTACCCTTGCATCCTTGCCTCCGCGGCCCATCCTTGGCCACTTTCGTTGGCCGCGCCCCGCTCGAAGAGCTTCGAGCGGGGCGTCCGAGGCCCTCGCACCCTCATCGCGTATCCTTCTGGTACGGAGCGATTGTACCCTTCTCCGTCTCTTCGGGTGTTGCCAGAAGTACCCCTGGCCCAAGGTACCCTGAGGATTCTCGGGGTGGCCCAGACGGCCTCCAGGGCACCCCTCGCGAGGCCCAGAGGGCCCCAGGGACTCCAGAATGGACCGGAAAGCTGCGGACACCTTGGGCCAGGGGCGCTTCTAGCAGCACCCGATATCTCTGCGCTGGCACAACGAGCTTGCGCGCTCGCGGGGAGGCTCCCACTACGGCGTGCTGGACCCTCATCGCGTATCCTTCCTGGTACGGGCCGACTGTACCCTTCTCCCTCTCTGCGCCGGCACAACGAGCCTGCGCGCGCGCGCGGGGAGGCTCCCCTTACGGCTAAGTCGGGCCTTCCCCTGTACAGGAGGGATATTCAAACATAGTGGAATAATAGTCTGGGGACGTTTTTTTCCATGTATTTTTGACCATGTTCGAGTCTTGTTTTGACTGTTTTTTTTAGTTGTCCTCCAGAATCCGCCTGTAGGGGGACGTGCCCAACCTAAGACGCGTCCAAGACACCTGCACACGGGAGCATCGCTTTCGGGTTCGGGAGGGGTTCCCTGGCGTTCCGGCCCGTTCCTCTTCGGGGCGCGGTCGAGGTCGTTGGGAGCTGATTTTCACGCCCGAGGCGCGCCGAGGCCCGAATTGTTTGAGTCGGGCCACCAATAAATCGGCAGGAAGCTTTCGCCAAGTCTTGTCCATTTCCGCCAGGACCCCTCCTCCTCCTCCTCCTCCTCCTCCTCCTCCTCCTCCTCCTCCTCCTCCTCCTCCTCCTCCTCCTCCTCCTCCCCCGCCTCGCCCTCCCGACCTCGGGTCGCCTGCGGCACCGGGGCAAACCGTCCAGGTCCTGGGCTCCTGTCGCGGTTTCCCGCGAGGTTGCTGTTTTTATTTCGCGACGTCGACCTCCGGGAGGGCCGGGGCGGGAGGTGCAGCGTTAAGTCGGGTTTGTTCCTCTACAGGGGGGATATTCCAAATTAGGGAAAAAATAGTCTGGGGGCGATTATTCGAGTAGTTTTAACAATATTTGTATATTTTGTACTATGTTTCATTTCTCCTCCAAAATTCGCCTGTAGGGGGACATGCCCGTTCCGAGGCCACAAAGAGGCCCTTCGTTCCTCGGCACGATGACTGGTGTGGAAGGATGCCCAGAGAGGCGCGAAAAAGCAAGACCTCCCCCCCCAGGACGTCCAAAAGGGCGAACGCCTTCGAAGTCTTGCAGGTCGGCCCCTTTTGGCGCGCCCCCTGCAAGGCGTGCTCTAAAGCGAGTCCCCGCCCCCTCCTCGGGCTCATCCTGGCCAGTTTTTCCAAGCCGTCGCCGTCGTCGTCGTCGTCGTCGTCGTCACCGCCGCCGCCATCGCCGGCGTCGTCGTCGTCGCCGCCATCGTCGGCGTCGGCATCGCCGTCGCCGTCGCCGTCGCCGTCGTCGTCGGCGTCGGCGTTGGCGTTGGCGCCGGCGTCGGCGCCCGCGTCGGCATCGGCGTCGTCGTCGTCGGCGTCGTCGGCTTCGGCGTGCGCGTCGGCGTCGGCGTCGGCGTCCGCGTCGTCGTCGCCGCCTGCCAGTGACTTAATTAAGAGGCAGCGGCCCGGGCGAGCGCACACCCTTCGCGGCCGAGGAGGGCGCCGACCTGTACGTGGTGAGCTGCGGCGGGCGCCCGATGCTCAGCGTGGAAGGCCGTGAGATCTGTCGCGCGTGGGGGCCAGACATGATCGCGTCGTTAAAACATCAGTCAGCGGCCGAAGAACGGTATAACATAAACTTTCCAGCCGCCCTGGGGCAGGTGTCCCCGACGGCGAAAAAGTTTTATACCGTTCTTCGCCCGCTAAATTAGGACGGGAGGCTTTTGGCTATTTTCGGCATCGGGGGGCGCCCTCGCCGGGCCTCGGGAGGGTCAAAAGACGACCCGGGATGAAAAAACCGGTCCCGGGGAACGGGTCGGGACTTCGGGGACCCCGTCCTGAAAACATGATGGCGTCGCACGTCTGGGGTGGCACCGCGGCGGCGGTGCCGTTGGCGCCTGCGACGGCAGCGACGACGCTGGCGCCGACGCTGGCGACAGCGGCGGCGCGGCGGCGACGACGGCAGCGGCGGCTGCGACAGTGGCGGCGGCGGCGGCGACGGCGACGGCGACGGTGGCAACGGCGACGGCCGCGGCCACGGCGACAGCGACGACGACGGCGACTGTGGCGGTGAAGGCGACGATGAGATTGAATTTTAGACGCTTCGCGTATCCCCACCAGCTGGAGTGATTGCTCTGTTGGTACTTGCCGTCCCCCGGCTCTCTCCGTGGTCAGATTCAGCCCTGACTGCGCCCCAGCGCCTATGAGCTGGCCGCGGCCGCAGCGTACCTCGGCGACCTTCGGCCGTCACCCGCTTGGCGGCAGTACTGGCGCTTGGGCCTGCGTGTCCTCTTTCATCGTTGCTTCATGGCCTGTGACTGGTTTCGGATACGATGGCTGACACACCAGCCCCCCCCCGGGCAGCGGTGTGGATCGTGGAGTGAGAGCTCGGTAGGTCCCTGCAGCTCCTTTGCCCCCGTCTTAGCCGACCCCGCGTACGGCGGTGGTACGGACTTCGCGCTGAGTGGTTCAGCCTTCAGCGTGTCGCTTCAGTTCTCTCCCTTCCGCACTCGGCTAGGGGAGCTGCTCGGAGCTTGGCGCCGACAGGGCGACTTTCTCCGCTGCGCCCGCACTGTTGTCCGCTTCACTTCGGTGTGGCCGGCGCTTATGTGCGTTTGCCTTAATGTGGTGCATTTTGCGCCGTGCATGTGCTCTCGTTTTTATTGCAGGTGCGATGCCTGTTGTAGCTAATTCGCTTCGTCTGCTGGCCCAGACGACGCCTTCCGCTCCCTGACCGTTGCTTCGGAGCCGCCGACCAAAGAAGTATCCCCACCAGCTCCGCACCGAGCTGCTCCGCTCCCCGCGCAAAGACGGCACTGCCTCGCTCCGTCCTGGCCCGCCCCTCCTCAGGCAGCCGGGCCCGCAGCGGCCCTGTTGGCCCTGGTTCCCTGCCCCCCCCTGCTCCACATGCCCAACTTCCTCGTTGGCGCATGGAACCCCCGACCGCACGGGGTCCAGCCTGTGCTCCCCTGGCCGTCGTCCGAGTGTGTTTATTACGTCCACGGTTTCCTGGCGGCGGTGTCCACGGCACTTTCGTGGTCACTCGACCTCGTGCTTGAGGCGTGCACCGGCCCAGTTCCTGGTCAGTTCTCTCAGACGTCGTCGACCCTGTTCGGGAGTGCGCGGGGGGTCCTCTGATCCGGTGGTTCAGACTCAGTTACGGTGTTGATCACATCCATCATTTTCATGGTTTCTCTGCTATGCCGTTCGTGTTCACTCCGTGCACATTGGACGGCAAGTGTCCGGATCAGTACTCCCTTCAGGAGGCTCGTTGTGCGACATTGGTGGCGCCACTTCCACGCACTAGTTCCATGGCCAGTGAGTTAGTTATTCCTGGCCCAGCTGGCGTCAGCGTTCCCAGTGATGGTGCTCCTGGCCACTTCCTGGTACCGCCCCCGCGCCATTTTGGCTGCGCTCCAACCTCGGTTGGTTAATTCTGCATGCGTTCGCTCTTGGGCCTGGTTCCTGGCAGCTGCAACCCGCGCCCTCTCGCGCTGTCTGGCCTGCTTAGGTGCTGCTTTGGCCGCCGGCTAGTCGGCGTTAGGCAATCAGGCTCGCGCGTAGCCCGCTCGACCCTTCTCGCCGTTGGCGCGCTCGCCTGCGGTCGCGACGAAAAAAGTACCCCCACCAGCCCATCCAGAAACGACGCCCCGGAAAGTAGAGGGTCGTCCTGAGGGGCTTTTCGGCGTCTTGGGTGCCTCGGGGGGGCCTCTTTGGGCCGCTTGGGATCGTCTTGGGGGCCTCCTGGGGGCTTCTTGGGGCCTCTTGGGGCCATCTTGGGGCCTCTTGGGGCCTCCTGGGCGCTTCTTGGGACCATATTGGACGACATCGATCAAAAAAGAGGGGGGCTTCAATTAGGGTTGCCTTCTCAGGAGGCCCAAATGGGACCAAAACCTTGGTATAATCGGTGATTGTGGCTTCCTCGCCGAGGCCGTTTTGGACGCCTTGACACTTCCCCGCTCCTCCCGTCCAGGTCCACGGGGAATGGGTAGGGGGAGGGGTAAACCTTTCTCCCGAGGGGAAAAAGGGAAGGGTGGAAGAGGAAACGCCTTAAACCACCGACGCCCAGAGGGGTGGTGGGATTTTGCCACGCCACTTGGCCCCAGTGGTGCCTTCGCGGAGGCGGGCGGGCAGCTCGACACACCAGACAGGGTGGTGTCAGGGAGGGGTCCATGGATCCATTTTGGGCCGGCCCAGGCCTCCAGACATCGCGAAAAGATCGTGATGGGCGTCTTGTCTTGAATTCGGCCTCCAGGGCGCCGTGCCCGATCGCTCCCGTGGCCTCTAGACGTCCCTGGAGGTATGCGGAGGTCTCCTTTTCTGGAGGCCCGCAGATGGCAAGAGCGCGTGCAGCACCTCGACGGTGACGGCGAAAGCGTCGACGACGACGGCGGCGGCGACGACGACGACGAAGGACGACCGACTGGCTGGCCGACTGGCCGACCCACCGACCGACCCACCGACCCACCGAGCGACCCACTGACCGACCGAGGGGCGGCGGCGGCGCCCCGCGGCGGCGGGGTGGGGCACCACCCGCCAGGCCACCCCCCGGCCCAGCTCAGGAGGGGGAGAAAAAAAACACAGACACAATGAATTCGGGGCTGGACAGACCTCCTACCCGGACACGTCGATTAGTGAATGGGCCGTTTTCGGTTCGCGGGAGGGCGTCGCGGCCGTCATTTTTGCGGGTCCAGGTCCATCGGTTTCGGTCCCAGGCCGTTTTCACGACGGGGAGGTCTACTAAAGGGAGGTTTGTCCAGCGCCGATTAATCGTCGACCCCCAGGAAAATATATGAAAATATGGGAAGTGGGGGGAAGACAGAAGCCCAGAAGATATGGGAAAAAAAACGGGGAGACTTTGTATGTGTGTATCTATTTGTGTGTCCTGGGGCCCCTTCACCAACCCGATGGCCCCAATTTGCCCTCCATTCCCAGTGGGGGGGGCGTCGGAGAACATTGAAAAAACAGACGTGGGCAACGCAGCAAAAGGGGGTCGTCTGCGCCGACACTGGCGCGCAAGCTGCCCGCGTGAGCTCGCGCGCCAGCGCCCTCGTCTCCAACGCAGCGTGCCGCGCCGGCGGCCCGCGTGAGCCACCACATGAGGTCGCTATGCCATCTCGCGTATAGGCCCGTTTCTGAGTTTCTGATCGTCATTCATGTGGAATCCGTCCCCCCCCCCCGTCGAGTGAGAAGGGAGGAGGAAGGAGGGAGGCGGAGACGGACGGCTGGAAGACTAGGGCGCAGTACCCGGAGGAGGCCCTGGAGGCGGGCGGAGGAGGGAGGCGGGGAGGGAGGAGGAGTGAGGGATCGGGAGGCGGAGCAGGCGCAGGAATCTAGCCCGATGTCTGTTCCGTTCAGGAAACAAAGCAGGGTCTTCGGGTTTGGTTGGGAGGGCTTGGCAGGCAGTTTGACCCGTTTTCGATCGTCGCGCAATGACCCAGTTCTGATCGTCGCTCCTGTGGAATCCGCCCCCCCCCCAAAAAAAAACGATGTCTGGGTCTTCGGGTCAGGCTGGGGTCGCCTGGCAGGTACAGCCAACCCGCACTGTGAGGATGCGCGACCTTCCAAGGTTCGGCGACGAGCGAGGGGGAGAAATGAGCAGGGGCGGGCCTTCTCAGAAGCCTCGGAAGTCCCCAAGCCTTCTGAGAAGTTTTCGAAGCCTTCCACTGAGACACAAAAAAAAACCTTAGAAGGCGCGAGGGCTTCTGAGAAGTCCCGCCGCCTCCTGAGGAGGCCTTCTCCTTCTCGCTTACCCCCCTCGCTCGCCGCCAAAAGGTTGCCCCGCCGCATCCTCAAGCCCCCTGCGGCCCCTCCCTCAAGGCCGCTCTCTCGCCGGCCGCACGCCGCCCTCGAGGCCTCGGCGTGGCCCTCGGGGGCCCCTCCGCACCCCTCCACCCCAGGCAATTGCGACGTCCCGGCTTTTTCAGAACAGGGCCCCCTGGAGGTCCCGACCTTTGCCCCCGGGGACTGATTCTGCACCCCAGGCAATTGCGACGTCCTGAGTTTTTCAGCACGGGGCCCCCTGGAGGTCCTGACACTTCTTACCCCCTGGGGACCGGTTCTGCACCCCAGGCAATTGCGACGTCCTGGCTTTTTCAGCACGGGGCCCCTGGAGGTCCGGGCCCGACCCTTCCCCCCTGGGGATCAGTTCTGCACCCCAGGCAATTGCGACGTCCTGACTTCTTCAGCACGGGGCCCCATGGAGGTTCCGACCCTCCCCCCGGGCATCGGTTCTGCACCCCAGGCAATTGCGACGTCCTGACTTTTTCCGCACGGGGCCCCTGGAGGTCCCGACCCTTTCCCCTGGGCCGGTTTTTTACCCCGAGTCGTTCTGCTGACGTCCGCCGAGGCCCGGCCAGGGCCCCCCGAGGCCGAGGGTGGCCAACAGCCTCCCGCCCTGAGTTTTGTAACGACGCGATCGTGTTTGGGTTCGCATCCTTACCGCGCCTCCTTCTTATACCCAAGTCGTGCGTGCCTGTCTTTGTATACGAATGTTCAAATCATCAAAAATAGTATGGGGACTACTTTTTGCAGATGTTTTGACCCCTTTTGAGTATTCTTTAACTATCCTCTACTTCTTCTTGGGAAATCGGCCTGCAGGGGGGCAGTCGGGCCGAACGAAAGGGGGGGGATAGGGACAGGGGGGGTACGAAGTCTGCTGCATGCAGCTGGTTTCGGCCCCGCCGCCGGGCCCATTCCTCGATACATGGCCGCCTCCGGCGCTGGGAGGCGCCGGGAAAATCAGCCACGTGAGCTCATTCTCCCCCCCCCCTTTGATATCCCCTGAGGTCAGTAAGTTCCTAAAATAAGACCGCACTTCTTATGACAGGCTAAATCACATGGGGTCTTATCATAAGATCGTAGTATATGTTATAACGTCAGGTTGGTGTGTTGCAAGATGAGGTGTTTTTTATTGATTTCCTAAGTTCTCGCGGCGCAGTATGTCAAATAATGCGTGAGCAAAGGGGATGCCCCCCTTTTCGCCCGGCCCGAGACGGGCCCGACCTAGTCTTTCGGGAGCGGCAAAGAGGGGGATGATGACTAGGGGGGGGATATCATGGCGGGGGCCATGATGTTTCCTCAGATTTCATGGCGCCTCCTCTTCTTCCATTACGTCCCTGGCCCCCCTGCTGGGCCGCGCACATGCCGCCGGTCATGATTTGCACCCCCACCTCTTGGACACCCCCCTCTTGGCCGCTCCCGAGTCTTCTGCGGGTCGGCAGGCAGTCGGCCTCCTCCTCCTCCTCCTCCTCCTCCTCCTCCTCCTCCTCCCCCTCCTCCCCCTCCTTCCCCTCCTCCCCCTCCTCCCCCTCCTCCTCCTCCTCCCCCTCCCCCTTCCTCCTCCTCCTCCCCCTTCCCCCTTCCTCCTCCTCCTCCCCCTCCCTCCTCCCTCCTCCTGCGCCCCTGCCGCGAGGCGCCGGGGGCCACCTGAGCGTCACCTCCGGCGAGGGCGTGCCCCTGGCCGAGCTGCGGGGCGCGGAGGCCGGGCGGCCACGGGGTGGCGGCCGCGCGGGGGCGGCCACAGGGGCCGGCGGCCACGGGGCCGGCGGCCTACGCTCGTGGAGCCGGCCGCGCGGGGGCGGCCGCGCGGGGGCGGCCACAGGGGCCGGCGGCCTGCCGAGGGTGCGGCCACGCGCTCGTGGAGGTCGATGATAATGGAGAGGGAGGAGAGCATGCTGCCAGATAGTTGGCAGATGTTTCAAACATGTTTTAGATCATTGCCAGATGGTTTGCAAATCGTCAAAGAGTTGCCAAATAATGTTGTCAACTAGTTGCCAAATATTGTCAAATATGTTGTCAAACAGTTGCCAAATAATTGTCAGGTGTCTAAAACATGTTTCAGACATGCTCTAGATTTTAAAAACAGGTTTGGAACAGGTCGATTATCGGGCCGGACGAAAGGGGGGGATTGGGAAAAGGGGGGGGTACGAAATCTGCTGCATGCAGCTGGTTTCGGCCTCACTGAGGGGCCCAGTCCTCGATGCATGGCCGCCTCCAGCGCCGGGAGGCGGCCGGGAACATCAGCTACGCGAGCTGATTCTCAACCCCCCCCTTTGCTACCCCCCCCTTTCGCCTGGCCCGAGATTAATGGAGAGGAAGCATGCTGCCAAATAGTTGTCAGATGTCTAAAGCATGTTTCAGACATGCGTTAGATTTTAGAATGTTTGACACATGTTTAGAACATGCTTTACGTGTTAACACACATGCTTAATTCAAGGATCGGATTGTTAGAGTGTCCACTGTCATTGCATCCACAAGGCTACGCTCAAGTTCGGGGGGGGCCCGGGCCAGACACGATCGCGTCGTGGCAACAAATGAGGGCGGGAGGTTTTTGGCCATGTGCAGCCTCGGGGGCCCCTCGCCGGGCCTCGGGGGCTTCAAAGAACGACTCGGGACGAAAGACCGGTCCTGGGCAAAGGGTCGGGGCTTCTGGGGACCTTGTATTGAACAATTGAGGACGTGGCTTCGAGGCCTCCCAGATGGGGCCCTAGAAACCGAACCCCCCGGATAACAAATCATCCCCTCCCTGCACGATTGAGAGCTGATTATCCCTGGCTAAGACAGAGTTGTTCGGGGAAGAAAGAGGGGGCGGCAGGGCCGAACCTTCATGTCGCGGGGGAAAGTTGCGAATCGAAGTTGGTCTCTTCTGAGATGGGGTCGGTGGATCGCGCTGCATCGCCGATGCATCGACGATGCGGCTCGATGTGGCAACCGATTTCCTCCACGCTGGTGTGGCCGATGCGTCCCCGGCGTCGCCGATGCGTCGCCGGTGCATCGGCGATACATCGGCGATGCGGTGCAATCCTCCGACCCCATTCATTCGACCACATCTAGGAGTCCTCCATTGCAAAAGGTGTGGTTACATTTGAGTGTGGTTTGCGGTCGGCGCCGTTGGGGCCTGGGGGGCACGGCATTGTCCTCGTCGGGCCTCCTCGGGGCGCGGCGGAGAGCTCCCAGCCGCGTCGGCAGCCGCTCGGCCGCATTCGGTCGGCGACTTGCACAGGTGTGGCCACTCGGCGGCGAGCGAGGGAAGCAACCTTGGGAGGCACCTTGGGGGAAGTTCGAGATTTGAAGGTCGAGGTTTTCGGCTGGTTTCGTAGTTTCTCGGCGGTCTTCTGACCTCGGGATGCGTTCCAGTGGCTGCGCCTCGCTGGGAGTGTTCTAGGGGTGCCCAGATCGTCCCGAACGCCATCCGGAGACCCGAGCTCTGACCCCAAAACCAAATTCGGCGGCGCGCGAGGGGGGGAAGTGAGAAGGAGAAGGCCCTCTGAGAAGTCGGCGGGGCTTCTGAGAAGCCCTCCGGCCTTCAGAGAAGTATTCTGCGTCCTCGGGGAAGGCTCAGGGAACTTCTCAGGAGCCCGGGGGGCTTCCGAGCCTTCTGAGAAGGCCCGCCCCGTCTCATTTCGACTGCACGTAAGAGTGACCTTTCGCCGGAGTGACCTTTGGTGCGGGCCCAAATGGGTTCCCCAATCGCCGAGTGCGCTGCGCTATAAGCGGCTTCCGCGCTTGGGTTTGGCTCCCCCGCGCCCCCCTAATGCCGCGCACCAAAGGTCACTCTTACCCAGGGTCACTCTTGCGTATAGCCGATCACTTCCCCCAGGCTCGCCGCCGAGGGTGTGGCGATCGGCGCTGTTGGGGCCTGGGGGGCGTGGCACTGCCATCGATCGTCGGGCCTCCTCGGAGCGCGGCGGAGGGCTCTGTCGAGGTCCCCGCCCGCCCCCCCCGTGGTGCTGGTTGCAAACAACACCCTTTCCAAACCACACCCGGAGTCGCCGAACTGGGCGGAGGAGGATAGGACGCACAACGTGGAGAGGGGAGAAGGCCCTGACATCCTCGGCGTCGCGGGCAAGAGCTGGCGGGAAGTTGTGGGCCACTTTCAGGCTCCCAGGGCCCTCACCAGCCCTGCCTGCCATCGGAGAAGTGCCTGAGGTGAAGTACCCGTCCCAGGGGAGGGGTTACAGACCTCTGGGGAGCCACGCTGTGAACAAGAACATGACGTCGGGGTTTGAGGAGGAGGAGGAGGAGGAGGAGGAGGACGAGGAGGAGGAAGAGGAGGAGGAGGGAGGAGGAGGAGGAGATGGAGGAGAGGAGGAGGGGAGGAGGAAGAGGAGGAGAGGAGGAGGAGGAGGAGGAGGGGAAGGGGGGGGGGAGGAGGGGAGGAAGAGGAGGGAGGAGGAGGAGGAGGAGGAGGAGGGAGGAGGAGGAGGAGGAGGAGGAGAGGAGGAGGAGGAGGAAGGAGGAGGAGGAGGAGGAGGAGGAGGAGGAGGAGGAGGGAGGAGGAGGAGGAGGAGGAGGAGGAGGAGGGGAAGGGGGGGGGAGGAGGAGGGAGAGGAGAGGAGGAGGAGGAGGAAGAGGAGGAGGGGGAGGAGGAGGAGGAGGAGGAGGAGGAGGAGGAGCAGGAGGAGGAGGAGGAGGAGAGGAGGAGGAGGAGGAGGAGGAGGAGGAGGAGGATCAGGAGGAGGATTAGGAGGAGGAGGAGGAGGAGGAGCAGGAGCAGGAGCAGGAGCAGGAGGAGGAGAAGGAAGAGGAGGAGGAGGATAGCACTGGGAGCCACCTGTCGGAGGAGGATCGGGAAAATACGCCAGAGGGGGAGGTGGGGGAGGAGAAGGGTCCCGAGATTTGGGCGTCGTAACTGTTCCGCGCTGGACGTCTCTTCGCCCAGGTTTCTGGCTCCCCAGCGCCATCGCAGGTCGAGCTTGTCTGAGAACTGCTGCAGAAGATCAGCTCCAGGTCTCCAGTCATATGTTTCCCATATTTTTCCTTTGAGAGGACGTCTGCCCAGAAATCTGTTATAGTAGGTAAATCTGTCACCCGGCCCTTAACTTGCGTAGGGCTTGCGAGTTCCCGCTAGATTGAAAACGGAGTGTCGAGTGTTCTTCCCGTAGAATCAATGCGTTTCGCGCGTGCTCGCTCGAAGAAAGCACACCCTCCTTGTCGAATGCTCGAGAAAGATCGGGGCCCGCAAACTGACGTTTTCTTGAATGAAGAGCATCTTGCACAGAATCCTTGTGAGGGGTGCGTTGAATGCTTGCAGAAAGTGTACAAGAAAATGTGAAACAGTTGGTTTTGTGCGTGCCCGCACCAAGATGGCGCGTCCTGCGTCCAGACTTGTCGAGTATGCCTCGAGCGAAAGGCCTGTTTTGAAGAAACGCCTCAGGTCGCCCAGGCGGATATCCAGCATGAGGATGTTTGGAGGATTTCTCGGGCGACGCGCTTGTTTTCAGGTTGCCAGGTTGCCAAGGCGGATGCCTAGCATGAGGATACGCTGAGGATGTCTCTGGCGAAACGCTTGTTGTTACATGGGTTCTTTTTGCTCGTGGTGCTAAACCATTTGTTTATGTACATGGGCTCCTTTCGCCAGTGAGCTCAGACCATGTGTTTTTTCACATGGGTTTTTTTCGCCCGTGGGCCGAACCATGGTTTTCCCATCGGTTCCCTACGCCCGTGAACGCCTCAGGTCGCCCGGGCGGAGGACTTGTTGAGGATGCCTCGGACGACTCACGTCGCCCGGGCAGATGTTCAACACGGGGACTTGAATGAGCGAAATACGTGTTTTTACATTGACTCCTTTTTCGCCCGTGGGCCGAAACCATGGTTGATGCATCGGTTCCTTTCGTCCCGGTCGCTTCCCAGAGTCCGTCCGGGCCACAGCTTTTTTTTCGGGCCATTTGCGGGTGTGGCGACGGGGAGTTCCCTCGAAGGTCGAATTCCACTCGGTGCATTCCCGATCTCAACCACTTCGAAGGCGGAAACGACGACGATGATGAAGACGACGTCGGCGCCAAGCTGAACGACGACGATCACAGCCACATCAGTAATAGCAACAGCAACAACTACCACAACCACAACCACGAAGACAGCAACACAGTTCGGTTTCACCTGCGCGCGTGTCAACCATCATGTATATCCTAAGCCCTCGATGCCCGCCCTGTTCGTCTTCCATTGTCCCTTGGGGGTATGTCTTCCTTACCTGCCACGTTAGTTGGCGCAGCCACTAAAACAGGAGAGGGAGGGAGGCAGGAGAGAGAGAGAGAGAGACAGAGACAGAGACAGAGACAGAGAGAAAGGAAAGGAGTGTGGGAAGGGAGGCCACAAAAGGCATCGAGAGGGCCACGAGCCAAGAGGGCAGCGACGGAGCCGCGATTGCCCACTGCAGAACCCCGAGGGGCAGCGCGGAGCATCGAAGGCGGGCGAAGTGCAGCGAGAGGGGGCTGCGGTCCCTAGTGGGCGGGGCGGATGGGCGGACACGGACGGGCGGGTCGAGCGTACGGGTCACTGAAGCGGGAGTCCTGCATGAATCCTTGGGAAGTCTCCAGCGATAGCGCGATTCCCAGGCAGATCGTGAGAAGCCGGCGTGATTCCTGAGTGTCGAGGGCGCGGCAGTTGAAGAAGTCGCTTGGAAGCCCCACGCCAGAGCACGATTCTTGTGCAAATGACACGGAGGTCCCGAGCGAGAGCGCGATGCGGAAGTGCATGGTGAGGAAATATCAGGCGGGAGCCGCTGTCGTTGTGGTTCTGGGACCACCAAATCCAGTCTGAAGCGCAAGACTTTCACTTGTTCATCCCATGTAGAAAGCGGGTTGCGAGCCCCGCTGGTGGCACTTCAACTGAAGAACGCGAGTATTACCGAACGGGGGATCAACCAGAATTGTTCTTTTGATTGACCGAGTAGACGAAGCAGTGACCTTTCGCCAGAGTGACTTTTTGGTGTGAGCCCATTGGAGCCCCCCCATCGCCGAACGCGATACGATGGCAGCGTCCTGCGTGCTTGGGTTTGGCCCCCCCGCGGCTCCCCGAGATCCGCGCACCAGAGGTCACTTTTCGGCCAGGGTCACTCTTGCACGCAGTCGAACTGAGGATCCAGCGACAACGACGACGACACCTGGTTTCTGTGACAATTTGATCCCCCAGAGCCTCTGGGGGATCAAAGGGCCCGTGGGGCCGGTTCGGTTCCGCCGGTTCGGGTTCGACTTTCGGGCCGGTTTCGATTGGCCAGTTCGGCTCGAATCGGCCGGTTCAGTTTCAGCCGGTCCAGTTTGGGCTCCGGTTTGGGCGGTTCGGTCGGAGGGGCGCCGGTTCACGGTTACCAGTTCGGTTCAGACCTTTCCTGCAGAGGTATCGACCTTTTCTCCGCACCGCATAGCTTTTCATCTCCGACAGGTTTTGCTTGTGCCGTCGTCGGCCGTGCATGCTACTAAGTTCCGTCGTGTTTCGTTTCGTGCCGTTCTTGTTGATCAGGACTGCAGCATGCTTGCCGCCGCGCTTCGCTTCGCGACGCGAGTGGGGCTGGGGACGCCGTCGTCGTGGTCGTGGTCGTGGTCGTGGTCGCGGTGGTCGTGGTCGTCGTCGTCGTCGTCGTCGTCGTCGTCGTCGTCGTCGTCGTCGTCGTCGTCGTGGTCGTCGTGGTCGTGGTCGTCGTGGTCGTGGTCGTGGTGGTCGTCGTCGTCGTCGTCGTCGTCGTCGTCGTCGTCGTCGTCGTCGTCGTCGTCGTCGTCGTCCGCTCGGAGCCGGGCGCGCGCCCGCGACGAGGGCGAGCCGCTCGGGGAGCCGCCAGAGGCGACCCTCGAGGCGCCCGAGAAGGAGCCGCCACCGCGGCGGGGGGGTCGGGCAGCGCCACGTGGCAGGGTTTCTCCGAAGGGCTTAGGCGACCCGTCCTCCTCCTCCTCCTCCTCCTCCTCCTCCTCCTCCTCCTCCTCCTCCTTCTCCTCCTCGCCCGCCGAGCCATAGCCCCCAGCCTCACGGAGGGGCGCACTTGGATGGCCGCGGCGGTTGCTAAGTACTTAACATACTTACTACGCTAAGTTAAGTACTTAGTAAGTAGTTAGCGGACTTAGCTAAGTACTTACTCAGTCATTACTACATGGCCCACTTAGTAATGACTTAGTAAGTACTTAGCTATCCACTTATAACCAGTTAGCTAAGTGCTTAGCGCACTTAGCTAACCACTTATAACCGCTTATAGCTAGTTTGCTAAGTAGGTTATAAGTGACTTAGCGGTTACATTGCACTTGTTATCCAAGGGCCATGCACAGGGAAAAAAAGGTAAATCCACGTCTTGAAAGAGCTGAGTTTGTTCGTTGAGCGCTGCAGCGCTACAAATTTTGCATTTTGATTTGGAGTCGGTGTCCTGGATTTTTGCTTTAAATATGAGAAGCGCTGCAGCGCTGCCTTCGGATTTATATGAACATGAAGCGCTGCGTGCGCTGAAGATGAAGCGCTGCAGCGCTGAATGTTGAGTTAAATGCATGTTTTCTAGTTGCACGTTGTTCGGATCTTCATTTTCGCCCAGCTCCGTTTGCAAGGAATTTGAATGCACATGTCAATTATGTTTTGTTGTATTCGTTGTTTTTCAATGGTCGCATTGAGCGCTGCAGCGCTCCAAATTTGATAGCACGTATGTTACTTTGCGCTGCAGCGCAAAAAAAAGGTTGTCGTCGTGATGTCGCATCGCGCTGCAGCGCGTGCGCGCTCGTGCTTCATGGGCCTCGGGCTGCAGCCCAGATCAACATTTTTGCTCGCAAGTTGCATGTCCATGCAAGTCGATGTTCACGCGCACGCCGCGCGACAGCTTGTCTCAAGCTGCGGCCGCGCGCCGCATCCGCCGTCGCGCCCGCGGGCTCGCACGTTGCATTCGGCGCTATATATAGCGCTGGCATGGCGCTGCAGGCGCGTCAGGAGGAGCAGATCTTGCAGTACATCGAGGAAAGCAATTCCTCGGGGAGGTTGGCATCGGGGTGGGATCAACTGAAGGAGTTCCTGCTACCTAGCGTATTACCAGCAGGCCCCACCGAACCAGATGGGCATCGACATTCGGAACCGCAGCGGTTCGTTAGTGAACCCTGCGCGGGCTCACAATTTAGGCGCGAAGATTTGCGCCCAGGGCTTCGTCTTGGCCAAGACGGCTGCAGCCACTGCCTTCGAGGCCCCGCAGGGGGCGCAGTTGGAAGAGACCGCGATGGCGAACGACCGCCTTTCGCGGCTCAGCGGGGGTCGGTGCCCCCCGCTGGACTCATTGCGGTATACGTCAGTGGGCGGCTCCCACACGAACGTCTTCCTCCGCTGCGTGCTGGCCAAGGCGCCGACCACAGTGAAGGCGCTGGCAGACTCTCGGGACAACATCGACTCCGAAAAGCTGTGCGCGTTGCATCCGCAACTTGCGACGGCAGTCAAAAAGGGCCTGACGTTGATCATCAAGCACGCGGTGGCCAAAGTGAAGGGCCTCAAGAACTTCGTGCAGAGGGCTTTGAACGCCGACGTCAGGGAGGCGGTTCACGAGACCGAGATCATTCGGTCAGGCTGCAGCCTATCCCCACTATAGTATATAGCGGTATGTAGTAAGGACCAGGATGATGCACGAGGAGGGTGATGAGTGGGAGCGCGTTGGGGAGGAGGTGAGAACGAGGAGCAGGAGCATTATATCTTACAGTGCTGCAGCACTTGATCGGCTCGGCGCTTGCTGCAGGCAGGTGGGCGGATGCTCTTGGCACACAGCCTCGCTGGGGGTTCCAGCAAGCCCGATTGGCGCGACATCGCCGAGCAAGCGGGCCACGCGAACCCACCTTGCAAGGCGTGGATCGCTGACTTGTGCAAGTTTGTTGAGCTCGGGCCACAGAACGGAGAGCTTCTCCGTGAAATAGATGAAGCCCTCAAGACCTTCACGAATGTGGACGTCTCGGGGCAAATTTTGATGTGCGGCTCTGAATTCTGGCGCAAGTTGAATTCGATTAAATGGGGGAAGCACCAGGAGTGGCACCCGCATGTCGTAGCGGCGCTCGCGAAGGCCAACTATTCAGGCGAGCACGTGGTGGATAGCATGTGCAGGACCATCCATAAGCTTGTCGGCGCCCCCTTGTAGTGACATGCGCTGCAGCGCATCTATGCATTGCGCTGCATTGTTAGAACTGCGCACCCACCCCCCCCCCCTCCCCACACACACACACGCACCGTTACATTGCTTTATTCCCAAACGCAATCGCTGAAGCGATGGGCGGATCAAGTCAAACGAGATCGTCCACGTCGCGTCCCGCAAGGCGGACGTGGCCGCGGCCGACGACCTCATGGCCGACGCAAGGTCGCTCGTGAAGAGGTTGGATATCGGAGCGGAGCAGCGCTTCTTGCACATCACAAAGTTGGATGTCCGCTGTGCCATGCACCTGGTGAAGAAGCGAGCGCCAGGAGACCGCACTTTCGGATGCGTAGCAGATATAGCACAGGTACCTTATCACGCCACCTTTCGTGTGCGCCTTGTTTCCCTCCCTCCCTGCTTTTCGCCATTCAACGTCGCTGCAGCGACCCTCCAGAGAGGTCTTCCTCCATGAGCTCGGGGAGCCAGCCCAGCTGCAGATGAAGAGCTTGGGGATCGAGTTCGGCAAGGCGGCGCAGACCGACAAGCAAGGCGATGGCGCACCCGAGTTCCCAGCGAGCGCCGATGCAGACGCGCCGCGCGCGGCAGCGTCGTCGGCCGCTGAGTTGAAGAGCAACGTCCTCCGCATGCGGCGTGCAGGGTTCGACGTGGGGAAGCACATCGTCCAGAAGAAGGAGGTGGATGACGTCTTCGAGGTGCTCTCCATCTCGGAGAATGGGATCACCGCTCAGAAGAAGTTGCACGGCGACCTGGTGGGCGAAGAGATCTCCATTGCGCGGCTGCAGCCACCCCGCCGCCCGTGCAGGGAGCAGGGAGGGGGGAGGAGGAGGTAGTAACTGCGATATTGTATTTCCTGTACTTAAGTTGCAATGGGTTGGTCGATGCGCTGCAGCGCACGGAGCAGTTAGCCGAGCGGGCGGATTGGAGTAAACATATTGCTCGAGAATTACAAGTTGACGTCCAGGGTGCAGGAGCAGTTGCCGTTCACGAAGGAGCACTTGCCGCCAGCCCACGAGGGTTGGGCGATGGACGCGTTCAAGGGGGCATGCAACATGGCGCTGCGGCTCCAAGCGCTGAAGTACCAGGCGAACATTTTGCACTTGGAGATCCTGCAGGACCCACCTGCCGTGCGCTGCAAGCGAGCGTTCAAAGTGGGTGAGCTCGTCAGACTTGTGCTTCCGCAATCGTCCGCGCCCCCCTCCGACGACGCCGCGCTGCAGCGCTGCGCTGAGCACGAGGTAGCGAGGATTTCGGGGCACGTCAGGCCGTAGCGACGAGGTCAGTGATGTTACCGACTGCGCGCCATGTAGCTCCACGCGGTGGGAGTGGTCGCATTTCAGCCTCGTCCACGCGGGTCAGCACGGGCTGCGTTGCGGAGAGCATCTCGTTGGGGAAGGTTGGCCTCTACGAGTTCTTCGTGGGCCCGCAGTTCGCAGGGCCCCCCGCTGAGGGGTCGCGGGGCCCCGACGCCTTTGTCAGCCCCTTCTGGGTGGTGGCAAAGTCCGACTCAGAGCCCAACATGGAGCTCCGAAAGGAGACCGTGACGTTCGGGACAGGCGTCAACAAGGTGCAGGTGGGGGTGCCCCAGATGCATAACACTTGCGCCCTGTCCGCGGGCGACTTCCTGGTGGTGAAGCCGTGGCCGCGGCTGCAGCCGCGGCCAGCCAAGAAGCTCAGGACGGCCTGAGCTGGCGATATAGAGGGACCACGCGGGAGGATGAGGCAGGAGGGAGGGGTGATGCGGAGGAGGAGGAGGAGGAGGCAGGGTAAGGTTTGGCATAGGGAGGAGGATGAGGGGGCTTAAGGAGCGGCGAGCGCACATGACGGCACCGAGCGTGGCCCTCCGATTGGTGTAAACAGCGTGCGGGTTGGTGCGAAGTGCGATACTTGCCGCGGCGCTGCAGCGCGCGGAACGATTCGTTGCGCCAGCATCGTCGCTGCAGCGACTGTACAATATTGGTGCTGACATCAGCCTTTCCCACAGACATGCCGCTGCAGCGGCTTCGTCATCACTGTTGTGCTCGATGTGATCGTTGCTCTTCGCTTCATCTTTCACATGCGCTGCAGCGCACCTCATCATGAGCACCTCGTCCGCGCACATGTTGCCTCATCACTCCATCGCAGCAATTTTGGCGCTGAAGTGCGACCGCGCTCGGGCTGCAGCCTCGGCGCGCCGCGCGCGCGATGACGACGATCAAGCGCGACTGCGTCGTGTTGCACGACAACCGTACGGGGCGCGAGCTGGTCGCGGCCGTCGAGGTCATCGGAGACCGCGAGTGTATCACCGTGACCACCGCAGGTTGGAGCAAGTGGGTGCGCGGCAAGGCTCAGGGCTTGCGAGGCACGATGTTCCTAACGTGGCTGAAACATCAGCGCGCCGCGTCGTCGGGGCCAACGGCGCCGACGACGCTCTTCGCTGCAGCGGAGCCAGGCCGCCGCCCGACCACGCGGTCCGGCCGCGCCAGTCGCCAGGTTCCAGTGGACAAGTGCTTCAAGACAGTGCAGCTGCCGCCGTTTGGCGATACTGAGGCAACAGAGCTGCAGATTGTCATTCCCCCACCTCATAGGGGGGGGAGGGACAAGCTGCAGGTGGTGCTGCACGAGAAGGGCGTAGAGTACATCAAGGCCAAATTGCTTCAGGAGGCGGCGGAGGCGGCAGAGGCGAGCACGGTGCTGAAGCGCCCGCGGCGCCACGAGACCGACGTTCCTTGCGGCA